TTGTTAAATTATTTAATTAAATTATTTATTATATATAAGTTTAACCAATAGTACAAAAATAAATAGTATATAAATTACAAAACCATAGTAAATACTGTATAATAACATAGACCTAACACATTTAATTTTATTATTTATTATTCATGCAAAATCGTATTAAAAATGTAATAACTTGATTATTTTTTACGTTTGGTTTGCGGCATATTTCAATTAATTTATTCGTTATTTGTACTATTTTGTGAAATTATTAAATTAAATTATATTTATTATATATTATATATAATAAATGATAAGAATGTGTGGAGTTTTTTTTTTACTATCTGGCAAGCCGACTGAATTAGACAGATGAATATAAACAATAAATTTAAATGTGTTAGGCCTATGTTATTATACAGTATTTACTATGGTTTTGTAATTTATATACTTTTTATTTTTGTACTATCTGGCAAGCCGACTGAATTAGACGGATGACTATAAACAATAAATTTAAATGTGTTAGGCCTATGTTATTATACAGTATTTACTATGGTTTTGTAATTTATATACTTTTTATTTTTGTACTATTTGTTAAACTTATATATAATAAGTGATAAGAATGTATGGAGTTTTACCAAAAAGTTGGAACAATACAATACAATAATACGGTATCTAATAGGCGATTGGTCAGACTTAAACATGATGACTTAATTATAATAACAAAAGGTATCATCGGGCCTACAAACAAGTTGATATAAACAAAAGTGAAATAATTATGGTGAATAAACAGTTCACATACACGGCGCAAGACTGGCGTGGCTTACGCCAGGCGTAAGCTAATCCACGGATTAAAATTCCAAAGTGTTCACACAAACGGCGTTCGTTAAACTAGCAGTAATATAGGCCTATGTGGAGTGGAAAGAGACAGGGCCTATGTGGAATAGTTTTCTAAATAATGTACGGTACGTGTTAACAGTAGTAAAATTAACAGTGCATCATGAAAACTTTTAAATCTGTGAATTGTTCGAATTGAACTTATATGATTATTGTATTTTAAATGAATAATTTTACTTTTGATTTTTCAGCTAGCATTGTTGATGTTGCATGTTTTAATAGACAGTCTAAATGGTTAAAATATCTTACAAAACACAATCAATAAATCATATATTATAACTAAGTAAAATGCAATAGAAAGGAACCCCTTTACCATTTCATTTATAGAGAGCACAGAAAAGAGACCAAAGTAGCTAATATATTGTAATCGTGATTGGTCAATCTCTTGAAATGAGGTCAAATCATTCAAGCATCACTGGCGTTAGCTCAGTGGCGTTAGGCTATGTTCACACACACGGCGTAAGGCTGGCTTAAGCCTGGCGTAGCGTACGCCTTTGTGTGTGAACTAGGCAGTGGCGTTGTTTAAGCCACTCACTACGCCACGTCCTTGGCGTTATTAACGCTACCTGCAGACCCCAGATTAGCTAACGCCACTGAGCTAACGCCAGTGATGCTTGAATGATTTGACCTCATTTCAAGAGATTGACCAATCACGATTGCAATATATTACCTACTTTGGTCTCTTTTCTGTGCTCTCTATAAATGAAATGGTAAAGGGGTTCCTTTTCTATTGCATGTTACTTAGTTATAATGTATATGATTTATTGATTGTGTTTTGTAAGATATTTTAATCATTTAGACTGTCTATTAAAACATGCAACATCAACAATGCTAGCTGAAAAATCAAAAGTAAAATTGTTCATTTAAAATACAATAATCATATAAGTTCA